CCTCTGGCCTGGAGATGAGTGTAGACCTCAGAGTCCTGGACTGATGACGATCCTGGCCTATTTCAAAATCGGAACATCTTCTCATCCCCCTTAACAACTCCCTGCTATCCCCCTCGCCTCAGGTCAAGAGTCTTGGTGTCATCCTCGACACCACTCTCTCCTTCACCTCACACATCAACAACGTCACTCGGTCTGCCTATTTCCATCTCCTAAATATTAACCGTCTCCGCCCTTCTCTCACACCCCGCTCCACAGCCATCCTTGTTCACAGTCTTGTGACTTCTTGGATTGACTACTGCAACTTTCTTCTTTATGGCCTCCCCAACAAATCTCTCCAGAAGCTGCAATTGGTCCAGAACTCAGCTGCCCGTGTCATCACTCAAACCTCCTCCTATAACCACATCACTCCAGTCCTGCAGCAGCTCCACTGGCTCCCAGTTAAATCACGCATCGTCTTCAAAATTCTTCTTCTCACTTTCAAAGCTATCCACAACCTTTCCCCTCCGTACCTATCTGACCTCCTACACATCTCCATCCCCTCTCGCTCTCTCAGATCCTCCTCTTCACTACACCTCCATGTACCCTCTGCCCGCCTCTCCACCATGGGGAGCAGGGCCTTCACCTGCTCTGCCCCTCATCTCTGGAACTCTCTACCCCCTGACTTAAGAAACACCACCTCTCTTTCTATATTCAAGACTGCTCTGAAAACACATCTCTTTAGACTCGCTTATCCTTAACTCTGCTGTATGTATTTTATATTCTTTATGTATTTTATATTCTTTATGTACTTTATATTCTGTATGTATTTTATATTTCAATTTATTCCTGTTGATCTTTGCATTGAGCTTGTTTTTACACAATCTTTCTGATATGTTTCTAGTTGTAAAGTGTCCTTGGATGTCCTGAAAGGCACTTTTTAAATAAAATGATTATTATTATTATTATTATATTATAGTTCTTCATTTTCTGCATGTTAACGCTCGTTGTCTTTTGAGAAAACTTGACACTTTGAAAATTCTGGTCCATGGATTCGATGGATTTAATATCTATCGCTCTGATCGTCAAAAAAGGGGAGGTGGGATCGCTATTTACATCAGAGCAACCCTGGATTCTAATCTTGTGTCAGCCAAAACAATCCCAGTGTTCCCCCTACCATTATACAAGCAGGGTGCCCCACCCCGTCAACAGAACTGAGCCCCCCCCACCCCCGGCACTTACATAGCGCTAAACTAGCATCGTGCAATACAGGCGCTCTAGCTAAAAAGCTAAAGGCAGCGCTCACGTTGCCTCTTCTCTCACATGGAACCCCCACCCCCACCACCACCACCACTCAAAAAGTGTCTGTACAAACAGCGCACAGCTCAAACGTGTCGCGCTAAGCTAGCGGTGCGCAATTCAGGCACTCCAGCTAAAAAGCTAAAGGCGCCTCTTCTCTCATGCTGAATGCCCTCCACACCCGCCCTCGCTCAAAAACTGTTGGTACAAGCTGTGCTCAGACATGTCTCTCTTCCCCCCCACCCCAACAAAAATCATGGATGAGATGATCACCCCACCATGGCAAGTTAACTAGGGGAAACACTGAATCCCAAACCAATTTGAGGCCTTAGCTGTAAACATCACTTTGAATGGAGGCCAGATCTTATCTGTAGTGGGTTGTTACTGCCCTCCCTCAGTAACACCTCCGTAACAGACTTCCTAGCTAATTTACAATTCAAAGAGATTTTTCTTGCTGGTGATTTGAATATCAATTGGGAAAAGTGGACCCTCCTCTGTGAAAGATTCAATAAATATTGCCTGTCACTTAATATGACCCAACTCATTGACTCGCCCACCAGACAGAATAAAAACTGTCCTGAAACATCTTCCATCTTAGACGTATTTCCAATATGCCTCATAAATTCTCCGGTATAGGTGTTTTCGCTGACGTTTTGAGTGATCATTGTGTAATAGCGACTCTCAGAGACATTAAACTTCCACATTCTGAGCCCAGATTAATTAAAAAAAGAGATTTGAAACGTTTTTGTGATTTATCTCACTTAGACTGGCATTGTATTCTATTAACTGACAACGTGAACTCTGCTTGGAACTATTTCCATAATAGTTTCATTTATTTTGTGAACAAACATGCTCCTTTTCGCCAGTTCAGAATAAAAGGACGAGACAGTCCATGGTTTACTCCTGAGCTAGCTGACCTCCTGCACAAGAGAGACCATCTTTGGGCCACAGCGAGAAAATCTGGCTCAAACACTGATTGGTTGAGTTTTCGACAGCTGAGGAATAAATGCACAACTTCCACCAAAGCCGCAAAACGTAACTACAGGTCCTTCTAAAAACATTAGCATATTGTGATAAAGGTCATTATTTTCCATAATGTAATGATAAAAATGAAACTTTCATCTATTTCAGATTCATTGCACACCAACTGAAATATTTCAGGTCTTTAATTGTTTTAATACTGATGATTATGGCATACAGCTCATGAAAACCCAAAATGCCTGTCCCAAAAAATGACAGCAGCTTCGTGCACTCCGCCCATCTCGGACGACTGTACGTACATATTCGCGTTGTATCTCAGTGCAACGATAATAAAGTTTATTCTGATTCTGACTGTTTATGCTTTTTATTATTCCTTGACTTTTGACACAAGGTGATCTGATTTAGTATTTCATTGTTTGTAATTATGTTTTATATTTTTATTTCATGTGCTGTAAATATATCTTGTTTCTGTTTTAAATGTGCTCTATAAATAAATCTGACTTGACTTGCTCAAGTGCCCATTGTGGGGCAAATGAGGGTGGAGCAGGTGTGGGTGTTTCACCTTTTCCCACCCACATTTTGATGTCGTCGGCCGGGGAGTCGTACTGGCGACCTTCCAATCCCAGGCCTTCTCCAACCTCTGTGCCACCACTCCCCATCTTTGAAGACCTCATGAGCCTGGCAGTCTGTCCTGGTGGAGACAGGGCTCCACCAGGACAAGGCGGTGTTATCAGATTTTCATCAGTTTCTGTAAAGATCCTTGATCGTCTTCGTCCTGCTGCTTTTTCTCTTCTCAGTTGCATTTGATGAACCTATTGATGATGTCATTTCCTGTCTCCACAGTCGTCCTCGCACAAAGTCTACCGCCGACCAATCAAACCTCTGGATCTCCAGGACGCCCAAACCTGACAGCATGGAGGTGTGACATCAGAGCGATGATGTCACCAGACTTTTATTTTGTTAACTGAGCTAGGGTTTCTTACTGCCTGTTGGAGTTTCGTTCTTCTCTGCTGAAGATCCATCAAAAAAATAAATACGACCTCTAGAAATCAACTGAGGTTCTGCTGCAGGTCAGAGTGGGCGGAGCCTGTACACAGGCAGCCAATCGGAGGGCAGATTGGTTACTCTGATCAACAATTGATCAGCATCAAACAAGTGTAGAACTCAGACCAGCTTCCTGTCAGCTGGTTCTAATTGAATCGGTTTCAGAATAAAAGCATCAGTTTTAGAGTAAAACTGTCAGTTTAACAAAAAAACAAAAAAAAAACACCTGAATTTTGAACATCGCCGTCAAGACTTTTCACTGTCAGTTTCAGAATAAGAGCTTTAAAATAAAATTTCAAATGAAATCTTTCAAAGTTTCAGAATAAAAGCATACATTATCAGAGTAAAAGTGCTTGAGGCGATCCGTTTCCATACAGATGGTTCTGTTGAACTCAGCTGGTTGTGATTGTGGATTTTGTCCTTTCTGCTGCTCTGTAGAACCACCATCATGTTGCCGAGCTCAGCACGATGGACGGTTCTGGCCCAGAGCCCGTTTAACTCTGTCAACAGAACTTCAGCTTATGTTAACTGTTGTCGGGTCGGTGGTTCTGAATGGATGTTCAGTGTGGTCCATGAATCTGTACGATGTTGTGACTGTGGAGGTTCTCGTGCATGAAAATGTTTAATAAAATAAAAAATGGACCGGAACCAGGCGTGTTCTTCAGTTACAAAAGAACTCAGTTTAGATCCGGATACAGCAGCTGAACAGAACCCTGGAACCAGCTGAGCCCAGAGTGTTCAGAAACCAAACAGTGGAGAGTTCTGATTGAGGTTTTGGGTCAGAACCACTGGGCCAACTGGCACCAAACTGTTTATAAAGGGACATCAACAACATGTGACCCGAGTGGAAGATTTTATTCAAAGCAACCACAACTTTTTATTTTCAGGTCCACGTTCAAAGTGTCTTTGTTTAGCAGCTCAGACCAGTTTCTTCAGAACCGAGCCTACAGAACCACCAGCTGATGAAACAAGACCAGGAAGCAGCAATCAGCTGTCTTCATCTGGTTTCTATGACGAACAGTTTGTTGTGAGGCCCTCAGTGCGGCCTCAGGAGGCATCCAGAGGCTCGATGACATCATCACTCAGCGCAGTGTCACGTGACTCGTCTACC